GCAAACAATATTAGACTTTTTTAATTCATAATGCAACAAAATTCATTATAAATCCAAATAACTTTTGTTACCCAAAATCCTTATTTTTCAAACAAACTTTCATTTTTCAAATCCTTATATGAATCTGCGTGAATTCATGATTGTTTGCTGAAGTTTTAGACCACCGGCTCTGTTCCATTATTGCTCGACTTGAGATGAAAACCGAAGGGGATTAAAAAGTTAGGAGCTGCTTTTGAGAAGGTTGGGAAAAAGGGTTTTTAGTGAAGAAAAAGAACTTGCCTCAATTCTTGTAATGATGGAAAGTTCTAATGAGCGGGGGAATATTTATCTTGTTTTTCTCTCAATGGTGTCTTGTCAAGCATTTGCATGAAGCTGGCAGAAGGATCAATTTCAATCCCACACCACTAACCCTAATGAAACCCTCTGTTGCAATCTTCACGTGCAACCTGGTCGAACTCCAACCTTGGACTTGGTGCTGCATAATTGGCCTCACCTTCATGGGAAGAAACAGTAACCAATCCAGTTTGCTGTAAATGTCATCATCCCAATTATAACGCAGACTGCCATTGCCATTGCACCTGCTCCTGCAGGGCGCTCTGCCTAACAACTTGATTAATAATAACTGTGTAAGAGACTGCGAGCATCTTACTCCAATGAAAAGAGAAAAGTGTAGGAGCTTGATTTGATTAGTTAAAGAGTAAAAGATTTGATGCATCATGCATCTCTCTCAAAGATTTGATGGAATGGTCTAGCCCATCCAAGAGCGCTTGCGTCATATGGAAACTCATGGATAAGAAATTATCCTTATGGTTTTTATATCCGGTAAGCATAATTAGAAGAAACGTCGGGAGAGATGTCGTGCTCCAGTTGTGATAATTTCAGGTATTAATAGTTGATTAATCACCATATATATGGGCAAAATTCTACAAACTTTCGAATTATGAGTCGAAAGAGTTGGCTTTCATTTGAGGAATGTGTGTGAAAGAATGAGTAAGAAACACAATCATGTACTTCACTAAACAACTTCAGTTGTCGATGCAATAATCTTAAACCTTGTCATCATGGGACACCATATTCCAACATAATAGAATGTTAGAAATTAAGTTCATTGAGAAAAAGCACACAATGCATCATCTCTCGATGTGTATGCTTGTTATCCTATATGTAAAAAGAGGATTAAGTTTAATAATTACATAATTGATTTTTTGACAAAGATATTTTACAGGTACACATATAAAATTTAACCTACGTGAGTATGAAGTGCGACTGCTTTCATGGTACTTGGATTTTGGTTTTATGTGCGCTCTTGAGAAAGGTTGAGACACATGGATGTCAATATGGTTGCTAATGAGTTGATCTGTTCACGAGCGGCTCGTTGTTTGACTCGAGAAAAACTTGTTTAAATCTCTACTTGTTTACTAACAAGTCGAGGTGGAGTTGAGCATTGTTAAGCTCGCGAGCAGCTCAACTTGGTGAGTTGGTGGCATGTTGACTCGTTAGCTATCTCGTTTTGAGCTAATGAGATGTCTCAACATTGATGCTAGTTTAGCTTGTAAGAGAGTGGGATATGATCCATAATTAACCTTCACCCAACAACTTGAGTTATTGCGACAAAGAGGAGTGCCTACCGTTCGATTGCAAAGGAAACACACTTTGCCTACAGCACCCCGACAAGAAGAGTTGGCCTGCGATCTCGGCGACGACAAAGGAAACAGAGGAGGCGTGTAGATGAGATGGCGGGGGCAGCTGGTTCAACCACCGAGGAGAACGCGGAGATGGAAGAGGGGATAGTAGGTTGTAGAGTGGCGACGAAGAGAAGAAGAGGCAGGTTTTTGAAATTTTGTAAATAAAATTGAATAATAAACTCCATGTCAGATGTCATATTGGAGCCAGGATTCAAGAAGGCGCGCCTAGGCGCACGCCTAGGCTCAATTAGGCGCTAGGTGGTGGAGGATCACCTTGACTTGGCCATAAGCGTTGTAAAAGGCGATGGTAGCGCTTAGTAGGTAGGAATAGCACTTAGTTTGCGCCTAGTGGAGAGAAGGCGTGCCTGGGCGTTCCTGGGCGAGCTTAGGCGGTTAAACCCAATACTCTTTGTTTTGTCCTAGAAAATCAGAAACTTGCCTCTTGCCCTAGAAAATCAGAAACACGGGAAGTAACATCTGCGGCCGCCTGCAGCCCTAGCTCTCGCCCCATCTGCTACCGCCTGCTGCCCTAGCTCTCGCCCCATTTGCTGCTCTCTGCCGCCGTAGGAGAAAGTCATCGATCACTCTTCTCGCCTTCACACCGCTCCGATGCGATAGTGGGAAATAAAGTCAAAACTCGCCAATTCTTGCTCCTTCCTTCTCCTCGGTACGTAGCACAAGCTTCTTGCCTCTATAAGCACCTATTAGCAGATGATTGGTCACTATTTGCTTGTTATTTGTTATGTTAAGTGTTTACTGTTAAGAACTAGACATTGCTAATTTTATATGCACTTGGATTATATGAATTATTCCAGAAAACATGAAATATTTGAGAATTTTTCCATTTATGCTCTGAACGCCTAGGCGCGCCTAGGCTACGCCTAATCGGGCAAGGCGCAAGTCAGGAGCCGAGCGCCCGCCTTACGCCTAGCGCCTTTTAGAACCTTGATTGGAGCTAATCGATTTTCTGTTAAATACTAACGATCAACAACGGTCAAATCTGACGGAAAATAGTTTCTGGTAAGATTGTGATGTTGAATAGTTTAGGACAAAAATGACATTTTTTGAATAGTTCAAGTTTTGTAGTAGTATTAGCCCTGAATTGTATATTTCACCAAATATGATATTTAAGAATCTGAATGTGAGCAATTATGTCTCATTTATTGTTTAAAAGAGAAATTATGTATCATAAATTAATTAAATACTAATTACTATGAAGAGACATGATATGAACTAGTTATAATTTATTAACTGAAATAATATGATGCCAATAGAATATATAAACTTGGTATAAGTTAATCACATGTATAATACATGATATATAAATATTAGGATATTTAATTTATAAATTATTTTAGTATTTAGTCTAAACATTCAATTATTTAGAATAAATGAGCTGAGCTCGTGCAATATTTGCGATCTGATTGATGTGCCAAGGCCTTAATAAATGAGCCGTCTCAAGCCCAACTTATTTATTAACGAGTCGAGTCTGAACATGACTAAGCTCAACTCTACTCGGATCATTAGCAAATATAGTTGTCAATGGTGCTAGGGCTACTTAGAAATTAATACAATTTATAAGTATATTATCTTGAGATATTCATTTGAGTAGATGGGTTCAATCATTACTGATATCGTTTGCATTCATATATTCATCCATTGTAATATACTAAGACAGACATTTAATTGTCATTCATGAAAAAATTTCATTTAAAGAATATTAAATGTTATAGTTTAAATAAATTCTCGAAATACACATTTTGTTTATGAACTACGTAAATCTTTGTATTGTTTACTTTCTTCCATTGTCGATTATCCCATCCGTTACTAACATATCCACGTATACTTGCCACCTAGAGTGGTGGAAGACGAGGTGTACGCAATTGTTTTCCTATCGTCACAGATAGTCAACAATTAACATGCACTCCAACTCGCTGATTGAGTTGAAATTAAGTTAATTGGGTTTTGCTAGTCTAAAAACGAGAACAGAGAGCCAAAGCCCACACTGACACTACTGACTACACAGAACAGAAGAAGCCGAAGGGTAATAAGATGAAGACATGCAGGCAGATCCGTATCTTGGTCATGTTGCGGGACATGATTCGATCGATCAATCTGAGTTCCCAAACTGTGAAAGAGACGTCGACATTTAATGCGATTCATGTAATGGAAAGTAAGGGAGACGCCACCGTAACAAACAAACCAACAGAAACTTCCATCAGCAACCCGACAAACACTGTACAAACAGAGAACCCAGAAAAATCACAGCAAAAGGAAAAAAAAAGAGAGAAGAAACAGCTTAACAAGCTGGGAGTAGAAGAAGGCGCCACAGAACAGTTGGACTGCACAGAAGAAGAGAGAGGACAAAAGCTAGGGGTGGTAGTTCGGTTACTGGTTAACCGGCCGGTTATCCAAAAACCGGTAACCGAAGTAATCGAACTTCGGTCGGTTTTCAGAGGCTAGACGAAATAGTTTTTGGTCTTAAAAGTGGGTCGGTTAATCGATAACCGAGAAACCGAAGTCTATTTCGGGCGGTTTTCGGTAGGGGGAATGGTTATTTCGGTTAACCGATAACGATCGATTATCGGTTATAACCAAAATAACCGAAATGCCACCCCTAACAAAGGCTATTTCGGGAAATTTAGGAAACATAAATGGACACGAAAAGCAGCTTCGGCCTTAAACCCGATGGCCCCAGGCTAGTTATTCTGCTAACTTGAAAATTCGTTACTATATACTAATTAATATCCAAAATGGATGAACTAATATCCAAGTCTGTTAAGTATCTAGATAGCACATGCTAGTATTCAAAACATCACAAACTAGTATCCAGATAGCATATACCAACTAATATCCACAATCAACCAACTAGTATTCAATAAGGATACTCTTATGGGTTATCTGGATACTCTTATGTGTTATCTGGATACTAATTATGTGCTGTTTGGTGCCTATTCTATGTTGTCTATATATTATTTTGTGAATTCGAGATAATAGTTGATTCATAGTGGATATCAGTTAGCAAACTTTGAATATTAATCTGTATCTCTAGATACTTTAGTACTTGGATATTAGATCATGTATTTTGAATATCAGTTAGGACTGCTAACGAATCTTCATGTTAGCGGATTAACTTTTTCCGATGGACCCGAACATGCTCCGACCCAGATCCGGTCCGCGTCATTATGTAGTGTGTCTGTGTCTATCCGCACGCAAAACTATGCTCTCTGTGGTCTATTCTTCCCTCTTGCATTGCATGTTGGTGAATTTTTTTTCTTCTTTGTTTTGTTTTGTTTGGACTTTATGCACAGGAGAAAGCTGATTAGTTATTAATTAAAGGAACCCTAGCTGCTTTTTTGACTATCCTACAACGCAGCGCAATTGGTCAAACCACCCTCTCCCGGCTCTTCCTTCCCACGCATTATATTCATCGGCTCCAGGAAAAACATATGTTATGACTGTGATTACATATACGCTGGTTCTAGCTAATCACGACACGAGCAAAAGAAATTTGTGCCCATAAAATTAAGAAAAGTCAAGGGGTCTATGCAAAAGTTCAGTTAAAGTAAAGCAAACACTATCTAAATAAATAATTAATTCACAATATAATTTTTTATATACGTATGATAAAATAAAATCAGACACATCCTCTTTTGCACATGGTTAAAATTCAATGATTTTCGTAGGTAGGGGTCCCCCCGTTGTTCGTTTGAACTGATGACCCCAATAATTGAGCCACAACACAACACAAACTCTTCCTCCAAAAAGAAAAACCAACACACACACACACAAATACTAATAATAATTGAGACCTAAAATCTGTACTAATTATAATTACTGCCTAAATGGCCTTCTAGCTGTATACATACAAAATTCTGTATATTAATATAAATCAAAACCAATGTACCCAAAATCCAGTTATAGCTAGCTAATCTAGCTCTCTAGCTTGATAATTCACCTGTTGGAAATGGGATTGGGACCGCTAGGAACCTCATGCGCACTGGCATTGAACCTCGTCGACGCCGACGACCCTGCTGCTTGTTGTTGTTGTTGTTGTTGCCACGGTAATCTCCTTCCTCTCCTCCGGCTGTGGCTAGTAGTACTGCTGCCTCCACCTTCTTCTTCTTCGTGGTGTCCGACGACATGTCGTCGGGACACCTCATCATGATCCCCAGCTGCTGCTGCTGCTGCCGCCATGGTAATGTCTTTGTGAGCCACCATGGAGAAGAGAAGGAGAAAGGAAAGAAGGAGGAGGAGGGTTAATCTTGGGAGGAGATATTTAGTATGGTGGTGGTGAGAAGAAGGAATGAGGAGTGGTGAATGATGATGATGATCTACAATATCGCCACGGTGACCATCTCTAGCCATGCAAAAAATGGAGAGTGTATGTATAGTATAACATCTAACAAAAGGGGAGAGAAAGAGAGAGGTGATTAGTTGGTGAAAGAGGAGGAAATTAGGAACATATATGGGAAGATCAAACTTGAGGTGGCGATTGGATTGGATGGGAGGAGGCAAGCTGCTGGTTCAGAATGGGTTTTTGATGGGAGAGGGAAAGAGCGCTATGGAGGAAAAACAAAACAAAGGAAAGGAAAGGAAAGGGGAGAAAGGAAATGAATTTGTGGGGGGTGGACTGGTGGGGCTAGCGAGAGTGCTATAGTACTACTTTAGCTGCGGGTCAGTGTCTGTCTGAATGAGGTGTGTGTGTGAAAAAATGCACTTCAAATTTAAACTAGATAGATATTGTTGTTACCAAAAAATGGAAAACAGAAAGATATGTGCATGGAATGGGATGGATCCGGTCCGACCGGGGTCGGACTTTAAAACGGTGTTCAGAAAACTTTTCGGTCTGACCCCCTGAAGAGAGAGAAGAAAAGAGGGGGAAGAAAGGGAAAGGAACGAAGAAAGGAAGATGGTAGGAGGGTCATAGAGGTTAGGTATATTTATTTTGTGGAAAATAAGAATTTAATATAGATATGTAAGATAAATGTTATTTCAGTCATTAAATCTTTAATTAATACCTTATTTGTATTTTTTTTAGAAAACGTCTAAAACGGTTCAAACCGGCCGGACCACGATCAGACCATTAACCCTCAAACTCCTTACTTGACCGACTCAATGACTTTAACCGATTCTTGGATGGATCTCCCTTTCTCCCTCTATCTTTTATCGGTCTCTCTAGATGATGAATCTCTTTTATCTATCTAACTCTCCTTCTCTGCCTCTCTCCTTCAACCATCAATTGTCTAATATAGTGCACATGAACTTTAATGTGCTTGTCCTGTAATGAAATATCGGGTTAGTAGCCATACGAATAGCACTGGTGTTGTCCACATGTAACCGAATTGGAGGCTGAACAACCACTCCCAGTTCGACCAGTAATCTCTTGAGCCACACAATTTCAGGCGCCACTTCACTCATGCAACGATACTCAGCTTCAGCAGAAGATTTCGATACACGATACTGCTTCTTGCTACGCCATGAAATAAACGAGTTGCCCACCTTCACACACCAACAGTATGTAGATCGCCGTGTATCAAGACATCCTACCTAGTCTGCATCTGCATAGGCTTCCATCACTGCCTCTCCTGGCACTAGGAATAATAATCCCACATCCTGTGTGCCTCAAAGGTACCTCAAAATCCGTTGCACTACTGTCCAGTGGGAAGTCCTTGGAGCAGTCATGAACTGGCTTACCACACGGATATCATATGAAATATCTGGTCGTGTATGTGTAAGATATATGAGGCTACCCACAATGCCTTGATACACTGAACCATTTGGAAGAAGCTCGTCATCTGTTTGACACAGTTTGAGATTTTGTTCCATAGGCGTTGAGCAAGGTATACAGTCTTCCATTTGCGCCTCCTCGAGTAGATCCACAACATACTTCCCTTGAGATCTATGGATTTCTAACCCAAGGAAATAGGAAAGATCTCCTAATTCCTTAAGATGAAAGGCTGAACGCAGAACATGTGTGAGTTCACGAATACCCTCATTGTCATCCCCACTGACCAACATATCATCCACATAGATTAAGATTACCATGAGAACACGAGTAGTAGAACGAAGGAAGAGAGAGGAATCACTCGTACTTTGCACAAACCCAGTCTGCATAATAGTGTCCTGAAGCTTTTCAAACCAGGCCTGAGGCGCCTGTTTCAAAGTGTAAAGAGATCGTCGCAGATGACAAACCATGGAACTATCCCCTTTCGCATATCTGGGCGGGCGTTCCATGTATATTTCCTCTTTGAGGTCGCCGTGAATAAAGACATTTTCACGTCTAACTGACAAAGTGGACATTCTTTCATTGCTGCCACCGCTAGTAAACTCCGAACTGTTTGTGTTTTTGCCACCGGAGCAAAAGTTTCTGCATATACCATGTAAATTCGATGAACGGAAGGTAAGAAGTTGAACACGACACGCCATTTACGTGGTTTCCCCTTTGGTAAATTTAAAGGAAGACAATCATAAAACTAAATATTAAAATTAAAAGAAGACAATCATACTCCTTTGGTAAATTTCTTCTTTCTCTTTCTAAAGTTCAATTGTAAATAATAAAAAGGTTCCATTGAAACTAAATGAATACATTTAAAAAAAATCTCAATAGCTAAACTATATGCTATTTTTCCTTGCAGCTTGAACCAGGCACAATCGCTGCATTGCGTGGCTCAAACTTTCTAGTTCTTATTTATAGGAAATAGGGATTTTGGCACAACCAACACAACAAAAATCTAGTTTTTCGCGAACAAATTTTTTATATAATCTGTTTGCACTTTGCATATAATCTATTGCGGTTGAAGTGAATTAGGTGATGATGAATAAGGCATAATCTGTTTGTATATAATCTTTGCTGAGTGCAGCCTAAAATAGATAAAGATTGGGAGGGATTGGGACTTTAGGGGAATGTCGTTCATTATATATTAAGATATATTTTAATAAATGTTTTCTTATTTTTTTATTTATATTTTGTTAAATCAATATAAACCGGTATGTATAACTGTTGTACCACAATCGAATTATTTCACTTGTAAAACCTACACACCTACATAAACCGAGGCATTTTAGTGTGCTTTATAGTATTGGTGCTATAAAACATTTACAGCCATTAGATCATGTTCAACCTTTATCAACCATTAGATTTTATTTAAATTATTAATATATTATTTTATTTGTTTGGGACAACCGGTACAACCGGTTGCTTGAAATTATTTGGGTTCACACCTCTTCTCACGGCCGAAACCATTCTTCTCACCTCTTCTCACCGCCGAAACCATTCTTCCTTCTATCCTCTTCCTTCGATCCTCTCCACGCAGCTAGCGAGCAGTGAAGACGGCGACAGTGAAGACGGCGAGCAGTGGGTGACGACGAGTAGAAGAAGCTTGTCGATTGCAGCATCTCTTTGGCTGCGGCGAGCCGGATTCCGACAACGACAGTGAAGGCGGCGAGCAAGGGACGACGAGAGCGAGCATCTCTTCGTCGATTGCAAACGATTGAGCTCGTCGAGAGCCTGCATCAAGGGGTAATTGCGACGGCGACGCTGTGAGAAGAAAGAGATTTGGGGTTTCAAGTTTCCTCTTCCGCGATTGTGGACTATGCTCTTCCGCGGTGGGTCTCTTTGACGATATTGAAGTGGTTGAGCATCGGCGACGGGAACGGTGAGATTGGGTTCGCGGCGGGTCTCTGCTGATTGTGCTCTTTCGCGGTGGGTCTCATTGTCAATAGCGAAGGGGTTGATTAGCGGGTCACCGGAGGGAAGAATTGGAACAAGATTCAGAGCTGCTTGATTGAGGGTAAAGTCTGCTCCAAGTTCAACGAGACTTGCCTTTCCGATACCGTCGAGCAGTTCTACACCGAGCGATTGTCCGCTCTTCAGGTAAAAAAAGACGATTGACTTTCTGGGTTTTGAAAATTCGTTTGGTGGTTTTTGCTATTCTTCTTCTCTTTTCTGAACTTTTTGAGCGTGGCTTTTGGATTTCTGTGGTGGGTTAGGGATTTGATTGTTTTTAGTTGGGGAAAAGCGATGGGCAAACTATGGATTGTTATTGTGCTGAATTTAGAGATCCTTGATGATATTGAGCAGTAATTAGGATCAAATAGATATTGGAAACTTTGTAGACTCTGAACAATAGAATTGCTAGCCATCTAAATGTTGGATCTTGGTCAATTTTCTGGGGATTCTAGTTCAAAAGTGCTCCACGGAAAGTTCATTTAGCTAGTGAAATCCCAGGTGAAGTGTTGAGTCTCGGATTCGCGGATAATGGAAGATGAACTAGGCAAAAAGCTAGCCTGAATTACTTAATGCCCCATCCGTAGTACGTAATGGTTAATACAGTAGGAATCCTTTCTTTCTTCTAGGATGCTTTTGTACTGCCACAAGGAGCTGCAGTATTAGCATCACCTTAATCGTAACCTGTCTATGATTTTTGCTGTTTACGTGAGTTCACTTTCACTTTTTGTATTATGTGTAGGGACTTTGATCTGGTAACTCTTTCAGATACTACACGTTGGATTCAGAATTCAATTTCTCTTGTGATAGAGCTGCAATCTTAGTCTTCAATTCCAGGCAAGTTACTGAAATCTTGCCCTTTTAACTTCAGCCGTGAATTGTTATTCAAGATTGTTTGTCTGATTAGAGATTCATCAAGTGAAACTCCATTTCACTTGGAAAACCGGTGTGAGTTGCACGTGTCGAGAGAGCTATTGCCTTGTTGAGTTACATAATCGTCATTCCAAGCATGCGATTCATCTTGTCTTTGTGAGCGCTGGGAGAGGAGTCCTAATCATGTTCCCATTGTGGTTAAGCTAGCAACTATTTGTAGTATGGTTGTTGTGTGGATGTATTCTAGAAAAGGGTAATCGAAGCATTTGTCTTCTGTGATTCTTTGCATGAGCTTTGCATTAGTCTTATGTGATTCTTTGCATTCATTTGAGCTTTTTATTTCGTTTGAATGCTGGCTCCGTCTACGTTTATGTGATTAGTACTTCGGTTTACTATTAGAGCAAGATTGTGATGCAATTGATAGGTTATGCCGTGATTCATCAAGTGAACCTTGGACTTCTTCTCCTCATGCTTAATCATTAGTTCATTCTTTTATGCATTCTAGTATTATTTTTCTGATTAGAGATTCATCTGTAAAAATGCACTTCTCACGGCTCATCTGTAAATATCACGGGCGTGAGATTAACCCGTGATATGGTCACAGCTGAAACTCAAAAACACGCCTCACATATGAAAATCTCACGGCCGGGAGATGTACCGTTAGATTTTTTTAAAAAAGGGGGGGAGTTCCAGGGGTTTTCACGGGTTGGGTTCGACAGTATCACGGCCGTGAGATGAGCCGTGTTTGTGTAATTGAAATGCTGGACTTCTCACGGCTCATCTGTTAATCTCACGGGCGTGAGATTAACCCGTGAGATGGTCACAGCTGGTTTTGGCGTGATTCACCTAGTGAACCTTGCATTCCAGTATTATTGTTCCCAACCATGCGTGATCTCAAAAAAAGTTGCTCCAATCTGACCTAGCTAGCGATTGTGTTCCTTCCTTTATGCATGCCAGTATTAGCTTTTTGATTGGAGAGACTTGATTTGTGTTTTATGGAGGCAAATCGAATAGGAAAGTTCATACTCAAAGTTTGATTCTTTTCAGTTTGGCTTGAGACAAGTTGGATTGTTGTTTGCCTTCAAACTGAGTCTGCAGAGAAAATTTTGGAAGAGTTGATTTGGTCTTGTTGGTATTGTAGTGTCGTTACCGTTGCTTGTTGATTACATTTTGGACTGTTAATTGAAGGGTCTTGCTTGGCTGCATGAAAGGTGCAATTGAGTGTGTTAGTCAAGAATTAGTTCATGAAATCAGGGTGACTTGAGGAGGAAACGCAAGAGAAATGAAGCATTCTCAATTCTGTGAGGTCTCTAGTCATTAAGCTATTGCTCAAAGTTTGTCCTTGTTGCTTCTCATATTGTTAAATTTTTTGGAGGGGGTTGCTAATTCGAATATCTTGCGATGGTTAGTTGTGTGGGATATATTTTGTCAACTGATCTGCTTGCTTGCTGATCTCCAAATCATTATGAAGTACATCGATAAAGATTGACCGATTAGCATAGATGTAGGAGACCTGAAATAGTCAAGAGATGATGCCCTTTCTTCTCTCTGTACAATGATCTTGTGTCTGAATATTCTGGATCTTGCTGTCCACTCTTCTATAAAACAAAAGTATGTACTTGATCACCTTTTGTTTAAGCATGCAAGAAGCTGTTTGGTTTCCTATTTACTGCATTCGGATTAGACAAGGCTACTGCAACAGCTACGTTTGTCATATCACTCGAAACATCCATTTGAGCGAAAATGGGACTAGGATTGGTAGGTACTGGTGTGGTATTTCAAATGCTGAAAAATGCAGATGCATCATTTCATAGGTGGATCGAGCTTTGGGAGGTTAGAATAGTAGCTTTGATGTACTGATAAGTGACTCCTCTAGTAGCTTTGAAGTACTGAAAAATCAGGGTGTTTTTAGTTTCACGGCTTAGTTTAACGACCGTGATTTTTGAAACCAAAGCCGTGAGATTGTCTGGGATATGAAAACTACTCTTTGCTTCTCACGGGTCATGTCACGACCGTGAGAATTTGCATTTTGGGTGAAATTTAATGGAAGCTGGGTGTTTTGGGTGAAATTTATATATGCCAATGGCGGATTTCATGGTTAATTAGTGTACTCAGGTGTTGATGTAGGGGGTTTTCATTTCTTCTGGTAGTTAGAACTTGATATCGAGGCAAGTGTGCTTGTGAGCTCTGGTATAGTCTTGTATTTGTTCAATATTGATTAAAGCCATATATTGAAAACCAGGATTGAACTCATTACCTGGAGAATGTGTTTACCGAATGATTAAATGATCCTTTTCTTGAATGAAACTTTGTCATAACCACGTTTTCTCGAATGTGTTTAAGTGTGAAAACTGAAAGTTGCTTCTTTAGATCAGTGGTGGACGACTCTGGCTTTGTGTATTTTGTTAGTACTCTTCGGCATGCTTATAATTCGTGTTTCAAGGCATGCTTATAATTTTTTTGTTGTTTTAATTTTGCAGTTTGCTAAAATTGTTCTATAATGAAGACGAAGAGTCATGAAATTTTTAGCACCCGCTGTTCTCCTAGGAAAGTATTCTCAGTAGTCTCAAATTTAGAGGCTTGTCAATCAGAGGCCATTAAGAGATGTGGCTTTGGTCGTATGCTTGAAGTCAAAGGAAGAATGCTCCAACGTGAGTTGTTGGAGATCCTTTTGAAGAGCTTTAATGTGGAAGAAAGCTCAATTCAGGCTTATGGGTTGAAAGTCCATATTTCGGCCAAAGATTTCGAGCGAATTATGGGCGTGCCTGAGGGAGGTACTGATATCATCTTGAATGGTGAAGAAGTGGGACGAAGATCCGAGGAATTGAATCCATTTAGAGTGTATTCGACAGTTGATTGTGCCCGACAGGCGATTTCGACAAGCTTAATGCGGAAGGCTTTGTCGGAGATGAAAGATAGCGGCGATCTATTTCTTCAAACGTTTATTTTGTACGTAATGGGGGTGCTATTAGTACCAACTAGAAGAGATGACTTTTCGTTATCTTCGGTATACGCTGTCCTCGATGTTGCCGATATTCCGAAGAAGAATTGGGCATCGTTTTGCTT